ACTATCTGCACCATTTTACATGTCTACTAGCAGTTCATGAGGGTTCTGATTATTCCTGTCCTCTTCAACACTTGTTATTGTGGACAGAAGTTTCTGTCCCACCTGATCCCATTGCCGTTTAGTCCCAAATAAACACACAGAGGCTTATATTAATTATAAACTGTTTGGTCAATGACTAAGGCTTCTTATTGGCTAGCTCTGTCTTTATTATTAACCCATTTCTATTTGATCTTGGCTTACCAGAAAATGCCTGAGTGTCCTATTTTCCTAGTAGCTACATGGCATCTCCCTGGCGACTTGCTCTCAGAATTCCTCTTCCCAGCATTCTCCTAGTCATGTAGCCCCACCTATACTTTCTGCCTGGCTGCATTCTGCCTGTCCATTGACCAAAACAAATTTGTATGTCAACCAATAAGAGAAACATGTGTTCACAGCTTACAGAAGGGACATCCCCCATCATAATACTTTCCATCCATTTTTTTTTAGATAATAGCTATCCCATTGGGTGTGTCAAAAATTTTAAACATTGCTCTGGTGATGTTGAATGACTCAGAAGACAGTTTACTACTGTGAGGAACTATTTTTGAGTTACTAAAAGAAGTGAGTGACCTAAACTACTGCAATAAAAAGGAATTCTGACTGTCATATAAAGTATCTGCTTACTCATTCATAAGATATTTCAATTTTTAAAGAGGGTTTTGTGTATATGCATGTGTGTATTTCTTTTTCTTTTTTGTGTTGAGAGAGAGAGACTGAAACTGACTTATTATGTAGCCCAAGTTAGCCTGGAACTTGAACAATGATTCCCCTGCCTCAGCTACCCAACTGCTAGGATTATTTGCTTGAGCCACCATGGTTCAGTCAGTCTATAAAGAGGCTTCTGTGTTTCTTGATGTGGCTAGTGAATAAGCCAAAACTTTGAGGGGCAGAGCGGCTTGGGGCTCACCAGTCAATTCTTGGGTTTTGCTTTTGAAGTCATGTATCATGAATGGTTTGCATGGAGCTAGGGACGAGCTTCTGTAAGCTATCTTTTCACTGTACTGTCTTATTTTAGTTGTTGCCCTGTCTGACATGCATAGCAAGCCTCAGCATGTGTTCAGAGAACCAAAAAATCAGAGAGCAGGACCTGGCAGGGCTCTCTTAAATCTTAAAGAGATTGGAACTACTTTTTCTTCAGGTACTGTTGCTGGTCAACATTTACTGACTCTGCCTCCCTGCTTCGAAGAGCTGGCCTCTAGAGCAGAATTGATGATGATACCTAGAGAATGTTACTGAATATTTTTTTAAAAGCCCAGGTACAGAAACTCTATTGGCAGATACGCTGATGGTCCAGTTTTGTCTCCCTTGGTAAACACACACAAACTTTCCTGAGAACTGGTGAGCCAATGCTGTGAGCAAAAGGAGGAGTGACTGGGAAACTTGTTTGTCTCTTACCTGGAAAATGTAGTCTTTGGGGCAGAGAGGAAGATGTCATGAACAACTTTGGGAAATGGCATGTGCTGTGTTCTACTCTTGAGATGTACAGAGCGCAGCAGCTCCTTAAAGCCAGCAATAATGACAGTAGGTGGTTTTGTTAGTGTTTTTCAAACAGTCCTTTGGTTGATTAGCTACACTTTTTCACAAGTATACCTTAGTCACACTTTGGGGAATTACCACCCTTTTGGTGATAATTATATCCTTTTGGTATATTTTGATATCAAAAATTTGAGCAAAATATGAATTTCTGAGGCTAGTGGAATATGAAGGTTCCCTGAGTGCAAGTTGTTAGACCTTCCTCCTTAGACCTGCCTACCTCTGTCATCTAAGTTCCTGGGATTTTTCAATACTCAACAGACACTAATGTCCCATTTCAATATGCTGCTCATTACACAACACAGTTTTATAGCAGTGTCTCATTATGGGGGATGCTGTGTGATGGTAATTGCTGTAGAATAGGTAACTATCTTTTCTTCCACTCTCGTTACATAATTAAGGAAAAATAGCCTGCATTACAGATGTAATAAATAAGACATAATTTTATTTTAAGACAGGGTCTTGCTGTGTAGCCTTGGCAGGCCTGGAACTTACTATATAGACAGGCTGGCTTTGAACTCAAAGAGATCTGCCTACTTCTGTCTCCTAAGAGTTGGTATTAAAGCTTTGTGCACCATGCCTTATCCCTGGCTTTCAATGTTTAAAAAAATTCTTGTGTGTGTGTGTGTGTGTGTGTGTGTGTGTGTGTGTGTGTGTGTTTGCACTTGTATGCTCCAGGGAGTACATGTGGATAATGGAAGACAACTTTTTGGAGTCGTTTCTCTTCTTCTACCTTATGTGGATTCTGGAGATGGAACTCAAGCTTGAGAAGCAAGTGCCTTTGCCCACTGAACTATTTGCTCAGCCCTTTAATTAGCTTACAAAGTATAGGTTTCATTAAGCCACATTTGTATATATGTGTAATAATACTTTGTTCTTATCCATTTGTTCCAGTGTTCTACTCCATTCTTGCCTCTAAATAGTCCCCCATTCTGCTTTTATGTCATATATTCAGTTGTCATTTCTTCCTCCCTCCCTCCCTCCTTCCCTTTCTTGCTCTGTCTGAGCTAGAGTCTCTTTCTATGTATGCCTCCCAAGCTGGCCTTTAATTCACTACCCTCTGCTTCAGGTTTTCTGAATAGCTGCCATTATAGACATAACATCATACCAATTATGTCTTGTCCTTTCCTTTCCTTTCCTTTCCTTTCCTTTCCTTTCCTTTCCTTTCCTTTCCTTTCCTTTCCTTTTTCCCCCTTTTAGAGATGACAAAACTGAGTTCTGTGTAATGTCTAAGTGAAAACTGTGACTAACAGAGCCTGCCCTTTTCTGGCTTCTCTGCTAGACCAGGCTATTAGGGTAGCATCGTTAGTAGACAACAGTGAGTATGTGTTGACTAGGACTTCATTCTTCTCACAGTTTCAAACCTTGGTGCTTGTAACAGTAAGTTTCAGGTTTTAGAAAGTAACAGCCCCATAGTCAGGTTAGGTAGACTGCCAGGATTTTACTAGTTCATTTGGCTGAGTAGCGTGACAGGAAGGAATTGCCTTCTTAGAATTAAATAATGAGTCTAGAAAAGATGGCATGATTTCCTTTCCATGGGAATCAGAGAGAGTAGGAGTAGGCTGCATACCTGTAGGCCTCAGCAGGTTACCTGAGCAAAAGCTTATCTGTTAGGTGTGTGCATAATCTTTTATCTCCTAGTGGTTCTCAACCTTCTTAATACTGTGACCCTTTAATACAGTTCCTCATGTGGTGGTGACCCCAACCATGAAATTACTTTTGTTGATACTTCATAACTGTAATTTTGTTACTTTTATGAATCATAATGTCAGTATTTATGGAGGTAGAGACTGGCCAAAGGCCAATGGAGTCTCGACCTACAGGTTGAGAACTGCTGCCTTAGACTGTTGATTGGACTGAAAGGCATTATTGACTCTGCTTCTGGGCCTAAACGACACTGACACTTTTTCCTCAGCAGACCAGTATAAGTAGGAGTGAGAGCCAACTATAAAAGGGCCAGCATGCGTCCAAGAAATTCAAACAGCTGTCAGTTCATTAGCATAATTAAGTAGAACAATTAGAGTCTCTTCTCCACTCTGATTTGTTTAAGCAATCAGTCTTTGAATAGTGTACCGCTGTTGTCCTCTAATCTACTGAATGTGAGAACTACAGAAGGCAGTTCAATTTAAGGAGTGATGCTTTTTTTTTTTTTTTTTTTTTTTTTTAAAGAAGTGACATTGTGTCTGGACTGAATATGTGAAAGACCAGGACACTGGTTCTTAACTCCTAAGGAGACCGGGAGGGCATATTAAAGTGCACTGCTGAGCTCTACTCCTTCAATTTATGTTCTAGTGTTAAGGGTATAGCCTGTGGTTTTGCATTTCTAAAGCATCCAGGTTGATGTTGATGGTTTCAGGATCATTCTCTGAGAATCACTTTTTGGAGAGGATGGAGGTGGGCATAGCTTTTCAGTTTCTCTCAATTAAGGTCTTAATAAGCAAGGAAAGAAAGCCTCTACCTCTTGCATGTCAGGTGATTGCAGTCAGTTTAACCCAACCCTTGGAAATACTGTGCAAGGTAGTTCTTGTCCCATGTACTAGATGCAGGCCATTAAAAATGGAGTAACTTTTTCTTTTTTTTGGGGGGGGAGCAATAGTTTAGAATATACTTCATACCAATTATGGGACACTGGGCTGGGCAGTAACTAGAGAGCTCCTTGCAGCATAAAACAGTAATTTTTAAAGGACAGCTTTTATGTATAAGTCAAAGGGTAATGTTCATAATCTTACAGGCTGTTTAGTGATGATAATTGTAGAGTTACAAGAGATTATAAGCTGTAGATCGCTTTCACAGTCATTATACAGTAAAATGTTAAGATGGTAAAGGGAATGAGAGCTTGACTTTAAAATATCTTTCATATCACAGAAGAGGAGGATATATTAATTTTTTTTTTGAGACAGGGTTTCTCTTGTGTATCTTTGGAGTCTATCCTGGCACTTACTCTGGAGACCAGGCTGGCCTTGAACTCACAGAGATCCGTTTGCCTCTACCTCCCGAGTGCTGGGATTAAAGGGGTGGGCCATCAACACCTGGCTATTAAAATGTTTTTAAGAACTGTTATAGATTTATTTATTTACTTGATTATTTATTTGATATGGAGTCTTTCTGAGTATTCCGGTCTGGCCTAAAACCTTCTTTGTAACTCACGGGTAGCCCAACCTTGTGATCTTCCTGTCTCATCTCTCAAGAGGGCTGGGATTACAGGTGTATGCTATTGTTTTCAGCTGCTAATTGATTATTGACCAACCTTATTTCAGAAATAAACAATGTTAAAGGGTATATTTCAAAATAGTAGATATTACAAAAATGACTAAATTATTGAAAATTCAACTATAAGACTTATTTAAAGCACAGTGTTATTAATGTTCTTTTGAAAGGTCAGCTTGTTTCAGTGGAGCTCAGTGAAATTACTTTCTGTTATTTGACAGAACTACAAAATTATTTTTTAAAAAAAGTGGTGACCCAAGCAATTGAACTGAAGGCATTCTGGGAAAACCTGCTGTTTATTGTGAAAATCATCTTTGATCTTGGAATTAAAAGTAAAGCTGGAAAGGAATTTACAAACAAGAAAAAGAAGAAGTTTGGATTTGGACTCACAGGATCTGGGCTTGGAAATGCCTCAGGTAAATCACATGTGGAATAGGGTGCAGTTTGATTCTCTGTGGCAGCTGAAAGGGCAGTGTTGCCCTTTCTGCATCTTAACACAGCTTGACACACTAGCTTCAAAGACAGTTTATTTCTGCCCTCACCTAGATGTGAGTACATGCTCTCCTGTTCCTCATTTGCTGTAGCCTTGAAGATTTCAGTGAGCTTGACCCAAGGAACACGGTGAGTAAGTAGGTTAGTCACTAAATATGATCTCTTTGTAAGGATAGAATGAATTGCTTAGAAAGTTAATCTGCCACCCAAACGCCATTTTTGATATTCTGATATTTTGCTTCCTAATTCTTCCTTTCCATTTTCAACATTTCACAAGTAGTGATTCTGTCTCACATATGGAAGCACACATATCTATATGTTCTGTAAACGTGTGTGTGTGTGTGTGTGTGTGTGTGTGTGTGTGTATCTTTCTGTCTTGTTGTGTAGGTGAAACTGGCTTCATTTAGCAATCTTCCTCCTTTGGCCCTGAAAATGTTGGAATCATAGGCATACAGTACCATATCAGGCTGAGACAACTTCTTTTAATTGGTCTCTTTGGGTTTGAGGCAGTCACTGAAATAAAAACTGAAAGCTTATTTGTCCACATTCTTATCCAAACTCTTCCCCTTTTCCTTTTCATGGTTAATTTTTGCCCCACTGCCAGTTTGAATGCTGGGAAGAAATCTAGAAATAATGAGAGTTAGGGACTCCTAGGAGGGACTGTACAGGACTATCCTTTGGGCACAGGGATTAAAGAAAAAAATGTTAGGATGGATTGGTGACTTTGCAGCAGAGTCTAAAGAAGAGGACTTGGTAACTTATACTTAAAAGGCCAGAGGCTGGCATTCACCCCAAGCTCTGTGACAAAAGGACCACTTGTCTATTTTTAGAGTTTGTGTCCAAACAAGATATGGTTTACTGTTTATTGACTACTTGAATTAGGGCCCTAAAACTTGTTAAATGAAATTTTTCTAGGCAGAAAGATCCCAGAGCAAAACAGCTGATATGGGAGTAGCTAGGAGAACACTGAGAAGGCAGGTTAGGGTAGGTGGGTGGTATGCAAGTAGAAAGTAGATTCATGGACTTCTAATGTCATATAAAATTCTTTGCTGCACCACCTCATGGACAAGTAAGAATGTTTGTAGTCTTTCTTGCTTTCTTTATTGCAGTTGATTTCAGAGTGTGGCTTTTTGTTTTTGTTTTATTTGACCCAGGGGTGTACAGCTGAAGTGGTTTGGATAGATGATGAAATGGAAAAAGGAGAGAGAGAAACCAGAAGGTTAAGCCCACATTTCTAGCTGTGTCTTAGAGATTTGGGGGGCTATTGTGTTGTTCCTGTTGGTTGGACTGAAGATACTTAAGTTGGGCTGGCAAGATGGCTCATGAGCTAAAAAGTCCTCTTGCCATGGAGCCTGATTGGCTTGCGTTCAGTCTCCCAGTCCTACACTATGAAAAGAGAGAACTGACTTCAGCAAGTTGTCCTCTGACCTCCACATGTCTTCCCCCCCCAATAAAATTATAAAAAGATACCAAGATTATCTTTGTTGGGGGAAGTAAGACATTGAATTCAGAAATATGCTTTAAGTCTGACTTACTACTGCTTTAGTCCTAAGAAAACAGGAGAGCATTCTCTACTTCAGGGGAATTAGAACAGTCTTGTTAGAGAAGGATTTTAAGAAATGTTTATATAGTTTTTAAAAAATAGTCCAATGTTGTATGTTGTCTCTAGTGACCAAACTTTAGTTTGTAGAAGTTCTTGTTAAGAATTGCTGTTCTGATTTTTTTCTTTATACATCTTGGCTGGTTTCCTTGTAGAGGTCCATGTTCAGTGCTAGTTAAAGTTTTTGGTGTGCTTTACAGGAGAGATGGAATTATTTCCTGAAATAAATTACGTGCTGGGGTAAGGACAGATGTATGTGTAGTAAGTTGGACTTGAAGCTGTCTTTAACCTCCTAAAGTGAAAATGGTTTTGTTGTAGCCCAGCGTAAGCGGAATGGACCCGCCTTTTGGGGATGCCTTTCGAAGCCACACCTTTTCAGAACAGACTCTGATGAGCACAGATCTCTTAGCCAACAGTTCTGATCCAGATTTCATGTATGAGCTGGTAAGCAATCTTTTCTTGGTTTTAGTTTTAATTGATTTGGGACCAAAAATGAAGTCACAGAGTTTTTATTTATAAATGTCTGAAAAAAAGAGAATGATGCACATGATATGGAGGCTTACACAGGTAAAACCATTACCTAAGATGCTGAGGAAGGATTTCAAGGGTCACACAGATCAGGTTTTAAGAAAAGGAAAAGGATGTGACTAGGGGCTAGGTTTGATTCTTGTGACTAAGTCTAGTAATTTCTGAAAGATACCCAAATGGATTAAAGTAGCATGTGAAGAGGTTATGTGTCTTCAAGTCTAGTTGTTCATAAAGAAAGTAAGCTGTATGCGTGATATGCTAAACTGCTAAAGGGCTTTTTAGCTCACAAATTAAGGAATGATCATGCCCAAGACATATGGTAAAGTTGGTATGACAAATTAGCTCCTCCAAGTTTCTGAGATAGACACAAAATTCCCAAAGGGAAAAATCATTTATTTTGTGTGTGGGTACCATGCGCTACATGTACAAACTGCTCATACAGGCCAGAAGACGATGTCCGAGTCCGTGGACATTTGTGAGCCACCATGTGAGTGTCAGGAATGGAACTGAGGCCCTTTTGCAACAGCAGCAAGTGCTCTTAACTGGAACCATCTTTTCAGCCCCGCCTCTTTTTTTTTTTTTTTTTTTTTTTTTTAAAGGCAGGATCTCACTTTGTAATTTTGGCTGGCCTGGAACTTTTATATGTTAGACTAGGCTAGCTTCAGACCTCACAGATACTTGCCACTTTAGCCTCATGAGTGCTGAGATCAAAGGCTTGTGCTGCCATGCCTAGCCCAGGGGGGGAAACAACTTATATTTTAATTGTGCACATCAGTGAAGGTGCCCAAGGAGGCCTCCCGTGGTGTCATATCTCCCTGGAGCTGGGAGTTAAAGGTGGTTGTGAGCTTTCAGACAGCAGTGCTGGGAACCTAGCTTGATTCCTTTAGAAGAACAGTAAGTGCTTTTAACTGCTAAGTCATTTTTCTAGCCACAATAGAATTATTAATTATATGTAATTTAAATAACACAGAAATGTAGAAAAGTTGCGAATTTGAGTACACAAGTCTGTGAATTCATTAAAAATAATTGAATTCTATACCTAATAAAACAGGGTATGGTATATATAAACTACTTAAATGAATGAAGCTATTCATGTATACAGAGACACACACACAGTCCAACATAAAATAAATACAAACTAAAAATCCACTGGAACAAAGTAAACTGGAACACTGAGAATCCGTTCCCTTTCTGAGCCTCTACTCTTCAGATTTTCCCCAAAAGGTAACTACTGCTAGCAGATACAATGAATATGTAGACATTTGAATATGCTTTTTCCATGTTTGGATGGATAATATACTTGTATCCTTTAGTTTATTCCAACACACACACACACACACACACACACACACACACTTACTTATTTAGTTTGTGTGTATGTGTTTAGGTTAGAGGGTAACTGAGGATGGTTCTCTTCTTGCATCATGTAAGTCTCAGGCTGGACTGAGGTGGCAGGCCTTTACCTACTGAGCCTTCTCTTCAACTGGAGTTTACTTTTTCTAAACATAAAAATGTGTAATAGGAGGCTGGAGAGATGGCTCAGTGGTTAAGACCACTGGCTGCTCTTTGAGGGGACCCAGGTTCAATTCAGAGAACCCATATGGCAGCTCACAACTGTCTGTAACTCCAGTTCTAGGAAATCTGACATCTTTACACCAGTGCACATAAAATAAAGTTAAATTATTAAAAAAAAGAAACTAAAAAATGTGTAATAGATAGCCTTTTGTGTCAGTGCATTAGGGCTTAACTTCTTTTTCCATGGCTATAGAATGTAATTGCATTTTATTTATTTATTTTTGAGACAGAGTTTTACCATGTAACTCTGGCTAGCCTGGAACTTGCTATGTGAACCAGGCTGGCCCCAAACTCACAGAGACAGTCCTGCTTCTCCCTCTTGAATGAATTGATAGTGTGTGCTACCACTCCATTGTATGCTTTTTTGCTACATTGTAAAGTTACATCTTTGCAATGCATGAGGAATATCTGACTTCCCATGCCAAGAGTTATTACTTAGATTTTATACAAGATTTTACAATTTTACAGTCAACTTTCAGCACTCTCTGGGCTCTTTGCCTTCATATTTAATTTCCTCCTTAAGTTGAGGTATTCTGTGAGGAAGGTAAGGTCTTCAATATTTGCTTCTTACTTGAAATTAATTTCTAAAGAGAGCTTCTAAAACTACAAGAGGCTTTGATATTTGGACTCATACTAGTCCCTCAAAGAATGTATTTTCCCACTTTTTCTTGCCCAATGAAATGAAGTTGTATAGATGTAACGGGAAGGTATTATGTCAGTAGCCTCTATCTTAAAACAGACCAGAGGTAGAGTATTTTTTTTTTTTTTGATATTTGCAGGTGTGGATGGAGGTGAATATTTTCTTCCTAAAGCATGGTATATGATTTCCCATTTTAAACCTTCCTTAGGATAGAGAGATGAACTATCAACAGAATCCTAGAGACAACTTCCTTTCTTTGGAAGACTGCAAAGACATTGAAAATCTGGAGTCTTTCACAGATGTCCTGGATAATGAGGATGCTTTAACCTCAAACTGGGAACAGTGGGATACATACTGTGAAGACCTAACTAAGTACACCAAACTAACCAGCTGTGACATCTGGGGTACAAAAGAAGTGGACTACCTGGGCCTTGATGACTTTTCTAGTCCTTACCAAGATGAAGAGGTCATAAGTAAAACTCCAACCTTGGCCCAGCTTAATAGTGAGGACTCTCAGTCTGTTTCTGATTCCCTTTATTATCCAGATTCACTCTTCAGTGTCAAACAAAATCCCTTGCCCCCTTCATTCCCTAGTAAAAAGATCACAAGTAGAGCAGCTGCCCCTGTGTGTTCTTCAAAGGCACTTCAGGCTGAGGTACCATTGTCAGACTGTGTCCAAAAAGCAAGTAAACCTACTTCAAGCACACAGATCATGGTGAAGACCCACATGTATCATAATGAAAAGGTGAATTTTCATGTTGAATGTAAAGACTATGTGAAAAAAGCAAAGGTTAAGATCAGCCCTGTGCAACAGGGCCGGCCCTTGCTGTGCCAGGCACACACAGATGCAGCCAAGGAGAGTACCTGCTATTGTGGAGCTGTGGCTAAGAGACAGGAGAAAAGGGGGATGGAGCCTCATCAGGGTTATGGCACTCCTGCTTTGCCTTTCAAAGAAACCCAGGAACTATTACTTAGTCCTCTGCTCCAGGGTGGTCCTGGGTCAATTGCCACAGCAGAGAGTGGCAGCCTCTCTGCCAGCACTTCTGTTTCAGATTCATCCCAGAAAAAAGAAGAGCACAATTACTCTCTTTTTGTCTCTGACAACATGAGAGAACAGCCAACCAAATGCAGTCTCGAAGATGATGAGGATGATGAAGATGATATTGATGATGAAGACCATGATGAAGGGTTTGGTAGTGAGCATGAGCTTTCTGAAAATGAAGAGGAGGAAGAGGAGGAAGAGGATTATGAGGATGACAGAGATGATGATATTAGCGACACATTCTCTGAACCAGGTATAACTCTCGAAGCTTATTAAATTGACCTTTCTATTCACTGTTTGAACTAGAAAGCTTTTTGGATCGTTGCTTTATTTTAGTTTGGTGATTAAATAACTTCATGTCTTTATTTGGATCAAAAGTAGCCTTTTCTATTCACATAGCTCTAAAACCATTATTTATGCTTAGGATTATTTGTGACCATGCCATAATTTTTATCCTGATTCTTTGATTATTTTTTGTTAAGTGACCTACTTTGCCATACTCTTGAACACTTAAGTGAAGGTTTAAACTACATTGCCCTGTTTTAATAGTGAACTGATGTCAGCTCATATCACTCATGCTTGTAGCTAACAAAAGTGAACAGTTTGAAGGCAAGCCTTTTCTTTGTTGTCTGCTGTATTTTATTAAGAAAGTATATGCTATACCAGATGTGCTGCATGCCTATAATCCCAACACTTGGAAGTAGTGACAGGAGGATCACAACAAGTTTGAGGTCAGCCTAATCATCTACATAGTTGGTTCCAGGCGAATCAGGACTACACAGTGAGACCCTGTCTCTAAAAAGCAATAAATAGAAAAAAGTACAAAGAGAAAGTTCATGCTACAGTTTGAAGAGCATGAAGAAGGATGCTCCATTTTGTGTACAGTACATATAAATGGAAGAGAAAAAAACAGACTCCACGGGGAGCTGCTTCACCTTAGCGTTTACATGTTTGAACTGTAGCCACTATTGGCTGACACTATTTATAAAAATGTTGTGGCCAAGTGGCACACAGTTAAAAATGCACAAAGAAGTGAAACTTTTCAAATTTAAGCAAAATTTACTTGCTTCAAAATTAGTTTTGATACTAAGAATTCTGCATAAAACCAGTTAAAATTAAACTTTGTAAGTTATCCAAGAGCCTTTTTGTTTAAAATGGTGATTGCTAGCATTTCAGGCACTCTAAATGTTGACATTATTCTAAGACTCTGAACAATGACTATGTCATAGCTAGTGCAGCACTGTATATGTGTGCCTGTATGTATGTGTGTAGGTGTATGTTTGTTGTGTGTATGCACAAGTGGGTATGGCTGATGCAGTGTTGGGTTAAATCCTGGGCTTCACACATACTAGGTAAGCCTACCACTGAGCCACATCCTTCCAAAGTACTTTTATTCATGACAGCTTTTCTTCCTTTAGATAGTTTTTAAAATTCAAGTGCTTAGATTTATGCATTTGATACCACAAGTTGTTTGATTGGGGTAGTTTTAAGTAAGTTAAATTACTTCAAGTTTAAAGTGGAGGAAAAGGGCTCATACCTTTCTTTCTTTGGTTTACTTTAGAATCCTGGATAATATAGGTAGAGCTGTCTTTCCTCTTTGCCAGGACCATTTTTCTCATGGTACATTGATAAACTCTTCTTTGAGATGTTTAAGGAAGATTTGGCTGGGTATAATAGGGGTAGCTCTATTCCCTGTGAGGTGTGGCTCTTAAAAGTCTGGCAGATTAAAGCTAACATGAGATTCTTGTATAGAATTAGGGTTGAGTGCTAAGGGCCGTGAGTGTAAGCACAGAGAGGACAGATAAGTAAGGGGGATGGAAATGTGGGTAAGAAGTGCCTTTTCCAGTTGTAATTATGAGCAGGTGGATCCCAGGTTCAGTAAATCTCATCATCTCAAGGCAGGCAATGGCTGTGCTTTCATGACATGTTGGTTGTGATTTTACTTTTCCTTAAATTTGTGCCACTTCATTGAGATCTGTTTAAGATAAACAGCATGATAGTTGGATGTGTTTATTACATTGTGGTTATCACATGCTAATTAACATCCATCATTTGCCATAATTATCTTGTTTTCTTTTTTGAGACGTACTCTGTTAGCAGTATAGTGTTAACTACATTTACTGTGCTCTCTGTATTTTAGATCTCTAGACTTATTCTGCAAAACAAATTGCTCGTTGACCAACACCTCACATGTCCTTGTGTCTCTAGCAATGGCAACCACGCCCTCTGCTTCTATATATTTGACTAGATTCCACATGTAAAGACTTTGCAGTCTTATCTTTCTCTGCCTATGCTGCTTTACTTGACATAACAAGTAAATTCATCTTGCCATTAATGTAAACCTTAAAGGATAGTAATACTGTATGTATTTACATTTTTGTATCTCTACACCCACCTTGGATATTAGGTAGTGTTGTGGTGAATGTAGCTTACAAGAGAATGCTTTCTATTTTTGTTAACTTTTTTGGAGACAATGATCTTATTATATATCTCTGGTGGTTCTGAACTTGCTGTACAAATTATCCTGGCTTCCACCTCACAAGAGATCTCATGCTTCTGCTTCCTGAGTGCTGAAGTTAAAGGTACACAGCTGGCCTTTTAAAACAAACCAGAAAAAGATTTTTCTGGCTCAGTGGTTAGGAACACTTTTGCTGCTCTTGCAGAGGACCCGGATTTAGTTCCCAGCACCCAAGCAGTGGCTCACAACCATCTGTAACTCCAGTTCAGGAGGTCCAGTGCCCTCTTCTGACTTCTTTGAGTACCAAGCACACATGTTGTGTGCATATATACATGCAGGCAGAATACTCATACATATAAAATAAAAAATCTTTAAAGAAAAATTTTAAGTGTGTGTGAGTGTGTATGTGTGTGTATGTGTGTATGTATGTGGGGTATGTACACCTGAGTTCAGGTGCTTTCAGAGGCCAGAGGTGTCAGATTCCCTGGACTTGGAGTTACAGGCAGTTGTGAGCCACCTGACATGGATTCTGGGAATCAAACTCAGGTCTTCTGAAAGAGCAGAAAGTGCTGTTGACCACCGAGCCTTGTATTTTATGCTGGGCAACTATACTCTGCCACTGAGCTGTATCTGTAGCCCTTGGTTTCTTTGTTTTGTTTTGTTTTTCTGCACTGGGCATCAAACCCTGGCTATTGCAAGTGCTAGACAAGTACTGTACCACCGAGAGCCATATCCCTAGCCTCTGGCTTGCCTTTTCTGAGCTAGGGTCTGGCCATCTACTTTATACTGGCACTGAAGTACGTAACCTTGCCTAGTCTATAACTTGGAGTCCTCTTGCCACACAGCTTCCTGAGCCCTGGGATTGCAGGTTCATGCTAACATACCAGGTTATTTTCAATTTTTTTTTTTTAGGAACTTCCAAACTGCTTTCTATAATGACTATATAAGTTTACATTTCCATCGATAATGAAACATCTTCTCCATCTCATTGACAACAGTTGCTGCCCAACTTCTGATGAGTCACTGTGACCTGTGCGATATAGTGTCTATTTTTTTGTTTTGTTTTGTTTTTGTTTGTTTTTTTTTTTTTTGAGATAGGATGTCTCTGTGTAATAGCCTTGGCTGTTCTGGAACATGTTTTGTAGACCAGGTTGGCCTTGAACTCATAGAGATCCACCTGCCTCTGCCTCCCAAGTGCTGGGGTTAAAGGCGTGTGCCACCACTTCCTGTCTCTCTGATTTTTATTTGTGTTTTGTTGATGATTAGTAGTATTGAAAATGGTTTCATATACTTGTTGGTCATTTGGATATCTTTTGGGAAGTACTTATTTAGGTCCTTTATCCTGTTTGTGAATTGGGTTATTTGGATAGTAACTCAATATTGGATATTACTGCTAGCATATATTCTGTTTTATAAGCTGTCTCTTCACTGTTTTGATTAGTTTTGTTCTCAAGCTTTTTAGTTTGTTAAACCCCCTTGCTCTGTTTCTGCTTGCATCACCTATGCTTGTGGAATCTTAACCTCTGTCAGTTTTGTTATTTGAGGTAGATTTGGGGCCTACCTACTGAGGCAGTGTTAGATTCTGCCTCAGTCTCGTCTTGCTTTCTCCTCCTTCCTAGGCTTTCTTCTACCTTTTCTTTTTTTCCTGCTCTATACCACCTCCTCTTCCTTCTGTTACTTTCCTCCACATTAAACTTAAGGTACTTTTTACTTAAATTCTTCCTAAACCAAACAACTTTAGGGTGTCAAATGTGAAATTTTCTACACTTGTATAAAAAGAACTAAAAGGAAAAAAATCTTCAATTGGTCTTTGATATTATTCTGTATATTATTCTGTAGTACCTGTCTGTGCCTTCCTCCCTCTCCCCTGCTTTCCCTCTTTCTACAAGGTCTTACTGTATTGTCCTGGCTGGGCGGTACTTGCTATGTATCAAAGGTTTTTCTTAAATTCAGGGCAGTCCTCCTACATAGCCAGTTGAATGGTGGGATTACAGACAAGAACCATCATGCTTGGCAATAAAATTCTTTTTTTTTTCTGGGGAAAGGGTGGTGGATGTTCGTTTTTTTTTTTTAAGATTTTATTTATTTATTATGTATACAATATTCTGCTTCCATGTATATCTGCACACCAGAAGAGAGCACCAGATCTCATTACAGATGGTTGTGAGCCACTATTTGGGTGCTGGGAATTGAACTCAGGTCCTCTGGAAGAGCAGCCAGTGCTCTTAACCTCTGAGCCATCTCTCTAGCCCTGGCAATAAAATTCTTAAAACATTTTTATTTATTTTTTTAAAGTTTGTATCTCTTTCTTTTTTTTTTTTTTTGGTTTTTCCAGGGGATCTCTGTGTAGCTTTGGAGCCTATCCTGGCACTCACTCTGGAGACCAGGCTGGCCTTGCACTCACGGAGATCCGCCTGCCTCTGCCTCCCGAGTGCTGGGATTAAAGACATGCACCACCAACGCCGGGCTAACATTTTTTATTTTTGTTGTCTACATTTTGTGTGTGGGTGTGTATTGTCAGAAATTTTTAAAAATGAAATGCTTCATTCTTTGTAAGTTTCTGAGACTAGTTCAGTTTTGTAGCTTTAGCAGTTTGTCCTGGAGAATGCTGTTTATTCTCTAAATGAATGTGTAGTTTGGTGCCATGGGATGGCAGCTTCTGTGTATGTCCATGTTGCTTTAATGTTTTTCAAATCTGCTATGTCCTTATTCATTCCTTCCAGTCTGTCCATTATCAAAGTTGGGAAGTATTTAAGTTCCTCATCACTAAATTATGCAGTTTTTCTTGTCAGTAA